AAAAATAACAACTCAAAATAAGTATAATTACGTGATACTAACTGAAAGAATGAAAAATAACGAAATTAAAAAAAAAAAAAAAATATGTACACATGGGTACAGCTCTATTCTGTACACATAATATATCGTGTGCGCATGATTTCTCTTTTTTTTGTTAATATTTTTATTTCGAGATCTACGTATAAGTAGTGAAGGACACTATATCATGAAAAGTTTATTAACAGATGCATATTTTTATTACTTATATTTGAAAACTGTTACAGCAGCATTTGAATAAAATAAATGTCATGGAAATGTTTTGTTTTATTTATTTGTCCTTTTCTTTTTCAAAACTTCCTCTTTCTAATTCTTTTCAGGTCCTATATACTTTCTATTCGTCATGATGATCTGAATAGCAAAAATCAATTTTTTTTTTTGCATATTAAAATCATAAGTTGTGTTTACGTTTCAAGACAAAGATAAATTTAAAAAGTTGTTGGTTTCATACAAATGAATCTTTTGAGCATTTAGCGAAAAGTAATTATTTATTGTCATAGAATTCGACAAACGTTACAATTGGATGATAAGATGCATTTTTTTCGTATTCTTAAAACTTATGGATCAATTGTTTAGTTTCAATTAAAATGTAAAAATTTTATATTGTTAGTTTATGCTTTGCATTCGGCAAGTAATTCTACTTTGTAATTTCTACGTTGTATGACTAAGGTCACATTCGTTTATCAATTGAATGAAGTAAATAAATAAACTTAAAACAAAACACTATTTTACAAGCTTTTATCGTTTTTATTCAACTTAATTATTCGCAAATCTCTGAAGAATATAAAAAAAAAAAAAAAACTTTAATGCGTAAAGTACAATGAATTAAGTAAGTGATGTGATCAACTTAATATGGTGGTCACACAGGATAGTGTGTCATACTTTCATCACTCTTTGATATACATTTACACTAAATTAGAGTTAAACAAGCAGAATACATGATGTCCTAATAAATCTATCATAGTACACCCCCTAAGGCATTCGCACATCAGTAAAGAAGTGCCTGTTTAAAAGACTTTTAAAGGTTTTTAGAAAAACTAATAAAATTTTACAAATGATGATCAAGTAGACAATGTAATTTATTCATACTTAATTTATGCACACAGTGAACATTTAAAATTATTAGTCATTGATGGCAAAATACATCATTTTGGTTTTTGGAATGACAAACACTTATATACAATTCAAATCTGTACAAATATCAATGGAAGATAGATTATTTGCATCCATTGAAAAGATAGAAAAAAAAATTCAGAAACACAATGAAGTCTTTAACAACAATCTTAAATCTCTGAACATACATCATAAAGATTTACGCATTAATTAAGCATACAACAAAAAATATTTAGTTCTTACAAAACTTGATATTTAAATTAACTTCCCATCAACTTAAAAACTATTGTATGAAGTATTTACCATATGCAGAAGGCGACGAATCAAATGATAATGCAGTTAACGTTAACGGCGACACTGCACGTAAACTTTTTCGTTTCATTAACTTAATGTTCTGCCCTGCCATACGATGTAATTACACATACAAGCGCATGTGTAAACGTAAAAAATTTGAAGTATGTGCAAAGAAACAAAGTATGTTTCGAGATAATAATATATGTGTAATGTAAAAGTCGTAAATAGGATTTATTGTATCTATATTATTCTTGTAGTCGATAAACGTTAAGGTCAATCATTATGCACTGTAGATCATAGTATTTTTCTTATAAATTTCCTTATCAAAGGAATTCAGAGCAAAGTTTACTTTCACAATAAAGTATGTAACTACTCAGACTCAGAAGAAATTAATAGTCGGTATATGTTTTAATCTTGAATACAGACTTTACTGATTTTTTGAAGTAGGCAGGTGTATTAAAAGCTTTTACTTTCAATTTGACCTATAAATTATTTAAAAAAATATGAAAAAAAAGTCAGAGTAATCATCAAACGTTGCAAAAAAATAATAGCGTGATTTACGAATTTCTTGGATGTCAATTCTTCAGTTTTTCAATAAATTAGCGCTTCGTTTATATCATCGATATCGTGATCACATGAGTCGTACTTGGAAAAATTATTCTAATGAAAAAATGTATTTTCTAAATTAGTTGTGGACAATCACGGATACATGCCAATATACATATAGATATATGAAAATTGTTAATGAAATTCGAATTTAATTATATTTGTTTAAATATTGCAATTATATATTATATCGATAGCTAGAATAATTAATAAATCTAAGATTAAATTCATTTGAGTGGCAATATATATTATAATTAGATGCAGTTGTTTATAAAGTCGTCTTATTTTCTAATAATTACTTGGATTTTTAATAGTTTACATATTTTATCTTAACGTTAGCATGCGCATACAACTGCGCAGAATAATGTGGCAATAGATGTATAATCACACCATTATTATATTAATTTTATCAATTTATAGATATTTATGACGTAAAACGGGCAGCGATGCAAATCACTAAGAACTATTAATCTTTTTAATATATCAAATGTTTATCATATGCCAGAAAAAATCTATTGAAGATCTGATTATATTTTATTTTGTAGAGTATACAGAATAAACTATATAATTTAATTTGTGTGTTATTTTCGAGAGTTTATATTAATTTATGCTCACTCTATCGTACAATAATTAAATATATTAATATTACCAGTTGTATTTTATTATGTATTAATCACACAAATATTGCTAAACATGTGCGTCTTGATTGGGTGCGCACCTCACCATTACTTATACATTTATTGTTTCTATTGTGTCACACTTCATAATAAAAAACATTCTTTTACAAAAAACGTTCTAGGTTAACAGTAATAAAAATAATAAAATTGACGTTTTAATCCGAAAATATGGATCAAAATACAATTCAACAGTTTAGTCAAACTATGAAGGTGAGTCAGGGGCAACATATCGTCAACGTACTTTTTTGAATTTATCTGAAAGAGCAAAGGGTTAAGTATGAAAATACTTGNAAAAAAAAAAAAAATATGTACACATGGGTACAGCTCTATTCTGTACACATAATATATCGTGTGCGCATGATTTCTCTTTTTTTTGTTAATATTTTTATTTCGAGATCTACGTATAAGTAGTGAAGGACACTATATCATGAAAAGTTTATTAACAGATGCATATTTTTATTACTTATATTTGAAAACTGTTACAGCAGCATTTGAATAAAATAAATGTCATGGAAATGTTTTGTTTTATTTATTTGTCCTTTTCTTTTTCAAAACTTCCTCTTTCTAATTCTTTTCAGGTCCTATATACTTTCTATTCGTCATGATGATCTGAATAGCAAAAATCAATTTTTTTTTTTGCATATTAAAATCATAAGTTGTGTTTACGTTTCAAGACAAAGATAAATTTAAAAAGTTGTTGGTTTCATACAAATGAATCTTTTGAGCATTTAGCGAAAAGTAATTATTTATTGTCATAGAATTCGACAAACGTTACAATTGGATGATAAGATGCATTTTTTTCGTATTCTTAAAACTTATGGATCAATTGTTTAGTTTCAATTAAAATGTAAAAATTTTATATTGTTAGTTTATGCTTTGCATTCGGCAAGTAATTCTACTTTGTAATTTCTACGTTGTATGACTAAGGTCACATTCGTTTATCAATTGAATGAAGTAAATAAATAAACTTAAAACAAAACACTATTTTACAAGCTTTTATCGTTTTTATTCAACTTAATTATTCGCAAATCTCTGAAGAATATAAAAAAAAAAAAAAAACTTTAATGCGTAAAGTACAATGAATTAAGTAAGTGATGTGATCAACTTAATATGGTGGTCACACAGGATAGTGTGTCATACTTTCATCACTCTTTGATATACATTTACACTAAATTAGAGTTAAACAAGCAGAATACATGATGTCCTAATAAATCTATCATAGTACACCCCCTAAGGCATTCGCACATCAGTAAAGAAGTGCCTGTTTAAAAGACTTTTAAAGGTTTTTAGAAAAACTAATAAAATTTTACAAATGATGATCAAGTAGACAATGTAATTTATTCATACTTAATTTATGCACACAGTGAACATTTAAAATTATTAGTCATTGATGGCAAAATACATCATTTTGGTTTTTGGAATGACAAACACTTATATACAATTCAAATCTGTACAAATATCAATGGAAGATAGATTATTTGCATCCATTGAAAAGATAGAAAAAAAAATTCAGAAACACAATGAAGTCTTTAACAACAATCTTAAATCTCTGAACATACATCATAAAGATTTACGCATTAATTAAGCATACAACAAAAAATATTTAGTTCTTACAAAACTTGATATTTAAATTAACTTCCCATCAACTTAAAAACTATTGTATGAATTCTGATTACAATTTTTTTAAAATAAATCGATTATGAAGTCAATAGAAGAAAAAAATATCTTTGATTTAGAGAAATCGTTTTTTCAGATGAGGTTTAAGCCCACCCACACTCTTATTAGATTGTTGATTTTTGTAAAAATTTAAATTCGATTGTCTTTACATTTTATGAAATTTACAGCTGTGTAAAAAAATCAGTCGTTCTTAAAAAAGATAATATAGACATCAGCTGCCTTGATAGATGTTGTAGACAGTTTGTTTTTGGGCTTAGCTGGAATTTATATGTTCTTAACAGACTTATACCATTCTGATGCTTTGAATAATTTGGAAAATGGCTGAAAAACACAATTTTTTCATAAATATGTAAATAGTATTGTGATAATCAAAATATTTGTATAATTAAGTGAGTATTTGTCCAATGGTTTTTTTTTGTAAATTAAAGTGAGATGAAAACAAGAACATATTTTTACTTATAACAGTGGAAATCAAAATGTCAGTAGATAATGAAAGAAACATTAAAACATATGGAAACATTAATATTCAGAAAAGTTAACACAAAATAATATTAAAATGTAACCTTAAAAATCATAAGAATGTAAAAAAAACCATTTTCAAATCAAGAGAGTTATCAAGTAAGAATTGATAATTCAGTCAACTTTTTGGAGGCCTTAAATTCGGATACCAACAATAAAAAAGTAACTATCAATTTAAAAAAAAAAAAAATCAAGAGAATTCAAGTACTTAACAAGGATCAAACGTTAATCGTAATTTTCTTCAAATTTTCAATTCAATAGAGTAGTAATTCAAAGTTTGAACTCACCAGAACCACAAACTACAAAGATAAACAATGCCAAGAGCCATGGACCAACTGGTGATGACTCGTCCTGTGGTCTCTGCACAAAAAAAGAACAATTGTACAGTTATTATTTTATTTTTACACAAAGCATTATGACAAATAATGAAAAAAAAAAAACCTCAATTCTGTCAAAAGTAAAAAAAATACAAATTCCCTTTCCAGATGGATTAATCAGATCTAACCTCGACATGGGATAAGTCGTCCCTTAACTGAAAAGCTGAAACCCAAAGTTAGAAAACAAAAGATGTCTTCAACAATGACCACATATATCTACATTCGGTTCATTGATCCCCCAAAAACTACCCTTTCCGTCCATAAATTAAAAAAAAAATCAAAGCAGAACACGCCGACAGCTGGGAAGACTTGTGTCAATGTTGGAAATTTAAATTAAGCAAGTACAACTCACCGACGATTTGGGCACGTTTCCGCGTTGGGTGATAAACTTGGTGGCCTTCTCGTTGGCGATGCGCATCCTCTGTTTTGGAGCCATTGTGTGTATTGTTATTGTACTTTTTCCTCCGATATGCTGCGCCCACGAAAACGAAACCGATGCTCCAAAACGCAAAGTGACAACCCGACGAAATGCTTATAGGTGTACCTATATAGGATAGCGTGAAGAAACTGAAAGAGAAAGAGAGATAATCGGAACTGTCTTATGGGTGGGAGAGAGAGGGAGCTGTAATGATACAAAGTTGCAGACGTGTCTGTTTTTCACTTCTGATGATTCGTGGCTCGTGGCACTGATCGTCGATCGAGTGATCGACTGAATCGACTCTTATTGGGAGAGATACTTATACATGTACATTAAATTAAATTTCTAGTTGTTAAACTTGTGAAAATTATAATTTTTTCGACATCGTACAAATTTTTAATACAATGTCTTCCTATCGCTATCTAAACGATAGAAAATCGTTTTCCAACAGTTAACTTATTTAATTTAAATTCTGGGACAATTTAATCAATACGAAACTTGTAGATTAAAAAAATACTTTTTCTCTTTCGTGCAAAATTTAATGTATTTTGTAATAATTATAATAATATAAGCTTTCCCCTGTTGATCAATGTATCCGTTTGTTTGTCCTTAATTTGTCTATGTATTTATTATTTTCATACAAATGAATCTTTTGAGCATTTAGCGAAAAGTAATTATTTATTGTCATGAAAAAATGAACTTAAATAAATTCAAAGGAAAACTCTAACAGGTGATGCCAGTTATTGTATGAAATGCATTACTTAAAAATAGAAAGTCAACGAACAAGACGTGAAGAATAAAATAAAGAACACTGTCAAGAGGAGGAATCTCACTGTACTTATTCAAGAAAAGAAAGAGAGAGAAAAAACGACGGAGTGTATGAGACGTTGATAAGCCATTATTTTGTATCGGCAATAGCTTCCTATGTATTTGTTATCCAAGAAAGTCATAGAGGAATATTGTTCACATCATGATCACGACGTCTTGCTGCGAAAAAATCGTAGTGCTGTAAAAAACGGGAACATGTACTCTGTGAAAAAATTGTGGATTATCAACGATTTTTAGTATAAGCATAGAGGTAAAAGTTTTAATGCGTAGAACCCAACAGCGAAAATTGGAGAGGTCAATTATCGATGAAACTGTTTTAGTTGAAAATTTGTCAGAAATATTGAGAAAGAATTATATATAGAATAAAAAATAAATTTATAAATATTGCAAACAGCTTAANCCTATTTTATAAAATAATATCAATCGATTTAGTGATGCTTCGGTATAATGTATCAGAAACTAAATAATAAATTGAAACATCATTTATTTACAGATTAACTATGGGTAATTGTTGAATACTTATTCATGAGCTTCATGTGAAAATTAAAAAAAATTTTATCTCAAATGTGTCTGTTAACTATTTGCGATTGAAAGAAAAAATATCACAACGCTTTATTTCTGACAGTAAAAATCAACTATTGCTATTTTACAAGATAATCTGTATGCACGTATTTACATAATACATTGATTTTTTCAACTGAGGCAATAAATTGAAGGTAAACGAAGAAGCTGCAATCCAATATTAAGTAATTTTACAAGTTAACAAGATTCGATAAATAGCTTCAATATCCCGTCTTGTTTATTTAAAACATTTTATTTCAATAAAGCTGAATTATTATTAAATGTTTACCGTTACTTGAACGATCATACAAAAATTGACAAATATCGATTTTATATGTGATACCGTATTTTTATATCTAAGTGCATGCTCTTTCTCTAATAAAATAAAATTTTTTGACTATACAATACATATACATCACGCACACACATTTTAGTTTTTTCTTTATTTTTAGAAAATTGTTTGTATTTATAAAAACGTTTTCACCCAGATCTTTTAATACGTGTTCTATTTCACAGTGCACCTATAATTGTTTTTTTTATCGTCAATATTGTAATTTTACAACTTACTTTGACAGGTATTTAAAGCACGTATGTCCTTAACTAAAAATATAGCCCTATATTTGGGTGAATTTACTTTGATTTATTAAAGGAATGTCACAGTAAGCAGTAAATCTTGCAATATTAACAGCACCAAATTAAAATATCGCTTAGTCTTAAAAATAGAAAAATATTACATGACTAAAAATTATGTGGGAAGCTGTTTGTCCCAATATTGCATCAATTAATTAATCCAAATAAAGGACGTTTCTACTCTAAGAAAAAAAAAACATTTTAAACTTTTATTCAACGAGTTAATTACAAAATCAGTATGAGTTATTTTTTTTTTTTTAAATAAAAATTAATTTGTATCAAGCATTTCAGTAGCACTGTCGTTGCTCTTTGAATATTTTATAATTAAAACATTCAAGAAGTAGGAAATAATGTTGAGAATTGGCTTGACTGTGTAATGATCGACATCTATAAATTCATCAAGGCGATAATACTTAGATATCTTGTGAGGGAAACAAAAATGATACATACATCGGACGGAAAGTAAATCGTAGACTACCTTTGAATCTGCCATTCAATACAAGAAGTTGTTATTACTAAGTCTATGAATTTTTTTCCGTTTGGTGCACACCAAGGCAATTATAGTAACAAACTCGATACTTACGGACGTTTGTAAATAACTTATTTAATTGTTTTTTTTTTTTTTTTTATTACAGCGCTTATCATTCTCTCTCATTTTCACACTTTTTTACATCATACACTAAACTCGATTATTAACATTAGTTATTACTTCTTTATTTCTCGGTTTGCTGATCGAAATTTTAACGTCATTCAGACACTTCTATAAACATCTGTCGCAGTCCTTTCCCGTGCAATGTTGTTACGAAGACACGTAATAAATCTTGAATATCTTCGTGATTATTTTCACCTATATTTAGTCAAACGACGTATTGTCTTTTTTAGCATTTGCAGTAGGACTTATTTATATTTTTTCCTCTCTCTGGAAGCAGTATGATTAACAAACTGTACAAATCATTGTCAATAAAATCTTGGTTTTTGACTAGCGTTATTATTTTGAAATTCTTCGAAACACTAAAGTAGTATTAGATTACAATGAATAAAAAATAACGAGTCCCACTGTAAATGGCCAAACTGAATGTCTCTTTGCTGAGTCTTTTAATTTGTGTGACAATACAGCGGTGAAGATTCTTGTGATAAATTGTAGACATTTATAGGATTTAGTCTATTTTGACAGTGGAATAAATTTTCCGCACAAAAGCACTGGTGCCCGTGTAACCAACTGTGCCGCACATAATGCCCAGAGCTAAACTGAAAATTGCCATGTAACCAAAGTAGAAAGTAGTTTGGAAGAGGCCGTACATCCTGCAATACCATATTTGATACATTTAAAGTATTCAGTTTTGCACTTTTATTGTATGTCATGAATAAAATGATTACTTACTTAGTCTTAAAAAAGAAATAGTAAAACGAATAAAGGTAAACATAACCAGCCGTTGAAGCTGCCGCAAGAAAACTAGTCCATTGCCTAAAGAATTAACAGATAATTTAGCATTGCTTTAATTAAATTAATTAATACGGATAGTGATACTAACCATCTGTAATCTTCTGCATTCAGAAGGAAGTATGTGCAAACAATGGTCACGCACACAGTGACTATCATCAGTATAATAAATACAAGCAACATGAAACCGTAGACATAGTATATCTTGTATGCCCAAAAGGATGTAAAAATAAAATACATTTCAATGAAAATTGATCCAAATGGCAGAATACCACCAAGCATGATTATAATCATTGGTTCCATAAACCATTTTTTTTCGGGTATAGGTCGAGGTACTGCATTTACTCTGCAGGGAGCATCTGGCGTTCCAGACAGATTGCGACCAAAAACCGTGCCGACAAGTGTCAATGGTAGAATTACAAAAATACAAATGCACGTTACAGCGACCATGGAGCCAAATGGAATAGCTCTGCTGGCATAGTAAATAGCAATGAAGTTGATGAAGAATGCTGTTCCACAGACTAAAACCGGTAACATAAAAGCACTCAGCAGCATCTGCTTGATCCAAACTCGGCCACCCATTCGAGCATACAGGCTACCACCGGCATAACCGTTTATGGGAGAAGTGATTGCATAGAGTAATATTGCGGCAGACAGCATTGAGCCCCGCTCGGTATAAAGTTCTCCCACTATTGCAAAAATGATCACAAATAGAACTACAGCTGTTATCTGAAAATGTTAATTAACTTTCGTAAAATGGATCAATAGATACATAAAATGAGTAAAGAGTAATATTAACTTGATATCCGGCTCCAATAAGTGCGGAAAAGAGAATGGGATGATTGGCTGGTCTGAACACATCACCATGAACTTGTTTCCAACCATACTCATCACCCAAATCCCTCTCCATATCGTCCATTTCTTCATCTTTGCTATATCTTGCATAGTCTTTTCTCAAAGTGCGCATTAGAATCATGGAAACGAGTCCAACAAGGAATATAACCATCATAAAACTATTAAAAATACTGAACCAGTGAATCTGAAAATAAAATGTAATAACTAACTAAATGTTGTGAAACGTGTTTTTCTGTCGTAGCAAGTATATTTACCCTGTGTTGGAAGAAGTAAGGATCCAAGTACTTATCAAATCTATCCTTGAATAGAGTATTGGTTTTTTTCCAAATAACTTCATAAGTGAAGGGTATTGTTTTTCCTGGTTTGAGTTCGACTTTTGATTCACTTGTTAGATTTACATCTATAATTTGTTTTCCATTATAGCCTATATCTAATCTTTTGTGCGTCCAAATATAATAAGTGTCTGGATTGCGGTCATCAGGTTTTCCTACTACACCTGTAAAATAAATTGTGTATCAATAATGAAACTTTATGTTTTTATGTATAGAAGAATAGCTATTAAAAAACTGACATACCCCAAATTGGTAAATCATCCATATACATTTGGTACCAATACTGATTATTAATTGCATACACAAAATCCTTGTATTTTGTAGCATCTAACTTTACACTACAATACTTTTGTTTTGGAACGGGTACTAAAACATTTATTATTCACTGAATAAGAATGAGAACGTAAAATAAATTTAATAAAGTACGCATCTTACCTAAGAACTCAATGTCGATTCCACTCATTTTGAGCTCTATACCTTCCAAAGCTTCGGATAGTGTTTCATGATAATGGCTTATTACTTCTTTAGGCCCCTTACAAAAAGGCAAGGAATAGTAGGAATAAGTTTCTTGTCGATTGTGGTATGGGCCAACTGTACTCATCCATAAAACCACTTCATCACGTTCATCATACTGAAAAAAGGTTGCTATGTACTCAATTTAATAAAATGATTTCAGTTATCAAAAAATGTACATACGTTTATTAGGAAAGTAAAATTGTTACATTTTCATGACAGTAATTTTGAAATAAAAAATGCTAATTTAAGATTTGCAGATATAATTATTGAGAGTAAGTGAACAGTACAATGTAGATTTAATGCAGCATTACCAATGACATATGTCATATATATTAAAAGACAAGAAAATTCCTTGGAAAATAATAAAAGAAAAAGTTTAACATCTGTCTAAAAATAAAGAAGAATTGAATAAAATGTTGAATCAAATCTGTACACCAAAAAAAAAAGTCAACAAACATGCTATGTGATGGGTGATTATCCTCAGTGATGTAAACATACAATCTCAGTTAACAAGATGCAGTCAAGCAAGGTGTTAACATAATGTTTTTGTCCACGTTGCGTCTGATAAGTATGTGAACATGTAAGGAATACGTCATATACCTATACCTTATCTCTCCCGATTTGTTAGCTAAACGCCACGTTTTTAGTAGACGGGACACAGAGCTATGCTACTTAAAAACATGAAGAAAAAAAAAACCCGATAAAAAAACATCGCTTACACACTATCGATCGTCAGTTTATAATTGTTATGAAAAAAAAAAAAAAAAAAAACAATTACAATAAAAGTAAAAATCAGTATCACACATGGGAATGGAATGATAGGCAGTTATGATAAGCTTACAATGTGATTGTGCTCGTCGGCGTGGCTGGTGGTGCTTAACAAAACTAGACAGGCGACCAGGAAGCCAAGTCGGATCCTCCAGGTCCGGCACATTTTTTGTCTTTCTTCTTCGCCGCACAATTGCACTCACTTCCTTTCTTTTCCTGTGGTAATTGATGATTAGGCACTGGTAATCTCGTAACTCGTACAACAGTCGTAACTGCTATCACATATATGCACGCGCGTTCTCTAAGTATATACGGAAGCAAGGTGCACGCACTGCACGCGCGAGGACGGTCGCGATCCTCGAAGTATGTAACTACGTTCACTTTAACTTCTGGAGTCTGGACAGCTCCGGACTTCTTCATCCGTAGCAGGCGATACTGTCAGCCTGTACTAACTGTGGGTGTGGGTTCGCATAATGCGAATTTCGTATGTCAATTATAACAATTGTTTATAAACTTCGATAATTTTTTGCTGTTGACTCCCGTGCTAGTCTGCTACACCGATATATATTTCGGAGTAGTGTATCAGCGCCACCTAGCGTTGCGGATTTCGTGGACGTGCGCAAACTATTTTCTAGGGGAACCGTCTTGAAAAAATCCCTAGCATCTAGGGTTTTCCGCTAGAAGTAAATCACTAGGTGTATATATAGTAGATGTAGATCAAAAATCGTAGCAGACTTGGGCTGTAAATCTGTAATACAGCCGCTGTATTCCGCAAATGCTGCCAGTAATTAAGTTACGTAGGTCATTGTATCGCTGCTGGATCTAATTGAATCTTATCTGATTAAATATTAATGAACACGTTGAGATTTGATAGGTCTATTCCCAGTTCATAAGTTTGAATAAACGATTTAAAAAACATGATTATGGAGCTGTTCACATAGACATTTTTTGCTTATTTCATTGTGAAAAATCATATTGAAAAGGGGGTTCCACTGTTCCGCTAAACTCAAATTGAGTGAACAGACTGAACAGACCTATACTGTGTTCTCTCTCAGTCAACATATAGTTGCGACCATAGGCTTTGTTGCCTGATGGAAAAAGAGGTATAGGTCTGTTCAGTCTGTTCACTCAATTTGAGTTTAGTGGAACAGTGGAAACCCCCTTTTCAATACGAACGTGCACAATGAAATAAGCAAAAAATGTCTATGTGAATAGCTCCTATACATTGGTCGTTGTATACATCAGGTAAACAGCCCGATCAGAAATTTAATGGGTTTGCCACCTTAGTTAATTGGGTCCCCCTTAGGCTGCCTGATTGGTACCCTATTAGGCGCGTCACGGGGCGAGTTGAGGGTCCACGACCTAGCCAAAACTGTTGAAAACATTATATATTTCCGTGTTTGGGTTAAATATATACTTGTTTTTGTGCGCGTTTCTGCGTTTTTATGTAGATGTCGTGATCGGGCTTCCGTACAAAACAGCAAACAGCAAAAAAAAAAAAAAAAAAAAAAAAAGGGAAAATTGCCAAGTCTTCCGCGCGCTTTCGGTTCAAGCGTTTTACATTATGAGATTCTATAATTACGACATCGCATATCCAATCCACATAATTAAAGATCATCGCACTGTCGTCTCATATATTATTGTCTGATTCTGAATACTCCGATTCACCGCACCTGCTAATTATTTCCATCGTTTATGTACAAGTTATGGCTGTATGTTTTACTTAAGCCAATAATAAAAAAATAAAAAACCACTTCTAAGTGAAGGTTAAGTGACCAGGAAGTAAAGTGTATGAGTAAAATAAACAACTCGTACATGCAGGTCTTGTCTTGTCTTGCAAATAAACCATACATACTGAATTGCTGAATGCTGATGGCATCAGTAATATCAGTTGGTATCAGTATCGACAGTATCCCAAAGAGTTTTGACCTTTAATGGTGCGGTTTGTCGTTGTATGGTTTTTTTTATAAGTAATGCTTTTTGCAAGGATACTTACGCTCAGTTATTAAAATGTTTTTAAGGACTTGTGTATGGACGAGCTGAGTCCCTACTGTTAAGATGGAATTGGTAGAAATCTGGATGGGTATTCTCGCGAGGTCCTGGGACAACCCGGATTCCCTTGCGAGGATACTCAGGGAAGCACCGGGATATCTGCAGAATCTTCACGAAAGTGAAAAAGGTATGGACATTTTCATTTTATTTTATTGAAACATTGAATACATTGGTACTCGGTTATATGGATAGCTTAGTTGTTTTAACATGATTCTGTTTAACACTAATTATCAAATAGTTTGTGTTTACAAAAAATAAAATAAAATAAAATGTGTGGTTACTTGTATGTTCAAACAAAATAAATTTTGATTTTAAATGTAACCTACTAGAAAGTACTTGTATACATTTGGAAGCAAAGAAAAACAAAAATATAATGCATTTCCATATAAAATTTGATAAAACTACAAAAAATGATATGATAGATAAGTTGGCTAATCGTGGTATCTGTATTGCATGAAGCGAGTCGTAAATCATGATGAAGTACAGTGTCTAGTTGAGCAAAGTTCATCTGCGTATACATGAAAAGTTATGTTTTTTTATTAAATTTTTTTCAGAACTGTTGTACTTGTATGTGGATAGCATTAAGAAATGATCCATTTTAATGCTGTAAAAACATGTATCAATAAAAGTTATTAGTTTACAATAGTTAATTGATTTTAATGCTATAACAGTTGCTGCACTGGAAGAAATTTTGTCAAGGACCAGAGGATTGTTTGAGTTCTTTGATAAAGTAGAGGACAGAGATGAAAGTTTTGAAGATGCTTTAATCGAAGCTCTGAGGTCATTACAATTAATCATTAATATTGGTGCCAATTATTACAAAGCTTACACGGATAAAACAATGGTAATAAAATTTGATTTTTTAGCTTTTTTACCTTTTAATTTCTTAATGAAATATAAACTATTTCTTTAGCACATTTGTTGTCAAGTATTAGAAAAATGTGGACTAGTTCATATTGAGTTGATGGCCAGCAAAACGCTAAAAAGCCTGATTACAACTGTTGAAATTTCATCAGATAAATTTTGTGAGATTCTTCATCATTCTGAAGGTACAATAATATTGTTGTCATTATGAATGTACTATTGATTGAACTAACCAGTGCATTTGTATATTTAGATATTAGATATTTTATTGCCATTGGTGCAATTGCCAAGCAGTATCCACAAGTCATAAAAAATCAGTCAGACTCTTTAAACACTGGTTTTGTTTATTGTGAAACTCTATTCACAAAACTATTAAACTTTTTAGAATGCGAGGTAACTATCATTTAAATAAAATAAGTAGCATACATGTTAAAAGATTCTTCAATATTAAATAACCATTTTGCAACTTTTAGTGTCAAAAAAACACTAAGGAAATAAAGAACGAAAATATCCACATATTTTTAGAAAGTTTTTCTGATTTAATGAAACACTTTCGTCCATCATCTGAAGAGTACTTCAAAGATTTGCTTCGATTATTTTATAAACTTTGCACCGAACATCAAGCTGAAGAAGTTATTAACGGGGTAGTTCGTGTTGTAATTTCATACATGCAATTTTTTTCTGTTTTTTTATATGCAGACTACATAAGATGGCACAATATCTTTAGAAAAAATTATAAAGAAAAATCCAATTATTTTTGGATAAATGTTCTGCAGACATTTTACAAATACATGTCTTTGCACATGTCGCAAGAAGACAAGCCTAATCTTAAAGTAAGTATTATATTTATTATTCACCTGGATTGAAGTTAACATGGTTGTTGGTTTAAATGATATTTTTTCCCTGTAGGGTGTAAAACATTACCTCGCAAGAAAATTAAAACAAAATAGTTCGTGCTTGTTTTTCAATGAACTAGGACTTAACATATATGGCCTGGGTCAATTTTCCAGTCTCAACCGCAAATATTGTCCGACTGAAATTCAAAAACTTTCTGAATTCATTCTTAACAAAACTTTGATTTATTTTACAAAGTAAATTCTTCAATTTTTATATTTATATTTTAATGATATTTATGTGACAAGTGCATTTGTTAAAAATATTTGTCGTTTCTCGACACTATCCCAAATTTTTCTGTTTAGAAACAACGGTTTAAAAGATATAGAACAACTGCCCTATTATGTACAATCATTAGCCACGGTTATGGTAGAAACAACAAAAGTTACATCTCAGCAACTCGATTGTCTGATAAATCTTAGTGTGCTAATATTTAAAAATTATCCAAATTTTAATGAAGAAGCTCAGATTAATGCAATACAATCATTGGAAGCAACGGCGGTGAATGTTTTAAAGCTGGATAAGAAATCACAAAACAAATATTTTTTCTCCTTATGTAAGTATATGAAAAAAATTGTATGATGTACATATTATTTAGTAACGCTTAACACGTTAAAGGCTTAACAATACGATCAGTATCAGTAACTTACTTCCTTTTTTCCAGTTCAAAAAGGAATATTGATAACATGTGCCAATGCATTGTACATAGATGTACAGCTCCAAAGAGAAATTGAAAAAATCTTAAAACCGATTTCTTATAAAAGTTACTTGGCACTATGGATATCATTACTTACAGTAGTTGATAAAAATAATGATGAGCTGCATGAAATTTTTGAAAAGTTTGTGTCTGTGCTGAAATTCTTGATGGAAAGTTTTAATTTGCGAATCAGTCATAATAAACCAGATGATGAGGAGCATTTCCGTATCTTTTTAAACCTCATTGACTTGTTGACTAATATTTACGAAGGAATTAACATTACTGTGCTAGAAGTTAGCTCAGAAATGCTCTTGCTTTATTTTATTAAATATTCTTATCAATTTCCGATGTTATCTGGATTTTATAAGCTTATAAAAGCTATATTTAGAAAGCTTGATATTGCATATCATTATGAAGATACAATTGGAAAATTTGGTCAGGAATTGATTTCCAAATTCTTATTGGATGTTGTGCATTTAATCCCTGAATATTCAGGGGAACTGCAACTGTCTTGCATTTGCCTCATTCTCAATGCACCAATATTCTTTGTTAAGGATATAGTCGACGATGCAGTACCCATCCTTAAGTTAGCGTTAACAGTCAATTTGAACAACATTAATATGGCGTTCATGACTTTAGATGTCACAGAAGTCTGGTGCAACTATTTTGGACAAAAAAGTTTAACTGATTTTTATGAAAACATAGTCTTCTATCTTGAGCCGTATCTGACTAACACAAGAAAGTTACATATAGACAATAAAGATTTGGAAAATCTTCAAAAAAGAATACTTTTACACATGGGACTTAGTGAATTCAACAAAATACAAGACCTCATTTACATTAACTCATTAAGTACTAATGCAAAGTGGGACAAAAAAAGCCAATTGTCTTGTAGAATTTTGTTTTCGGGTCAACAAGTCAAGTTGACCTTGGAAAATTTGATCGCAAAAACTCTAGAGCTCACCAAAAGCGAGAACCGCAGAGTGAAATTTTCAGCCTGCGAACTCTTACATACATTTGTCATGATTATTGTCGGAAACGATTATCCACGAAAAAATCAAAGTCTTCACTGTTTGAACAGGAATTTGTGTTTGGAAATTTTGAAACTCAGCTGTGATCATGACGATGCCGTCAGAAATCTTATTCATCCACTCGTCATACAACTAACCCACTACCTAAGCACTAAGAGTTTGATAAACCATATTGTGTCGCGAAATTTCGTAGATTTGCTTTTCGAAGGCATGCTAGAGGAAACGAGTTTAAATTTGCACGTATACTGTGGTATTTGCCTAAAGGAATTCGTAAAATCCACTTCCAGCACTGAAACTAACAAAATAACAAATTTTATGAACGGTTTGATTCAAAGAATTCAAAACTTTGCACTTCATCCAACAAACTCTAAAAGAATAGCAGCCGCGAGGGCATTCAATTGTTTGTATAGTTTCGCTTTGAATAGTAACGTGAGTCTAATTAATATTTACTGGCTACAATTTTTATATGTATTTGTCAAGTGCTTGGAGCACAGCAGTCATCCTCAGATCATTGCTGCTGTTGAAAACATTGTGAGTACGATCAAAGAAAAGGCGAACGTACTAAATGGCAAAAACAAGGGCAAAAGAAAAGTACCTGCGGAATTCACCAGTGAAACGCTAAAGGGTGCCGTGATATGGCTACTGGGTCAATGTGGCTCTGACAACATCAAGTGCCGATATAAGTGCATGGAGTTGTTTGAAAATCTTTGCCCGATTGTTCCCGAATACAAGTCCATCCAAGAGTTTTTTAACGTTCATGGAATTAGCTTTGTCAACGACTTTGCCTTAAAGGGTCTAGATAATTGTGAATGCATTACAATCGAAAACGCAAGCGCATTTTTCAAAACTTTAGATTTTTTTATTTGGATATTCAATAAGAAAATTTTTTCTCCCGAGTCTGTTTTAATGGTGGATAATGAGGATGGCAAAAATATCTTTTTTGAATTTTATTCAAAATTCGTTTCCATAATTGTCAACGAAGAAATAGATGATATTATCAAAGGAGCTACAAATTCTGCGACTCGATCAGATACGTTGAAAGATTTAATAAACAGGATAATAATGAAGATTTTCCGTTTTGTCCAAGTAATCGTGTCAGTGAAGGTATTTAAATCATTGTTACATTCGAGCTAAATTTTTTTTTTTTTTTTTTTCAATACATCTTTATTGTTTTTTCTAGGACAACGAATCATCAGCTTTGTTGGACCGTCTTTGGACAAAAGACCTGTGTACTTTTGTCTCCTTTTTTACGCTATACCCTGCAAGAATAGGATTGTTTGCCAAAACCTTGCAAGGAATCACCCCCAAGCAATTGGAAAATTGGTTTCTTACTGCAGTGAAAAAACTACCAGAAAAATGTCTGGTAAAATTACAAACAGAATTATTAGTTAAGAGAGACGATTTTTTCATAAAATTTATGGAATTTGACGAAATTAATAACGAGAACTTGGATATCACCAGTTTTCAATATTTTGTTCGGGGTATAACCATACTACAAAAGTGCAACGTGTATAATTATAGTAACAAGGTAACTTTTCTTGATAATTTTTTCTTTGATTCACAAAAAACATTTTTATCTGTATACTATGCTTCAGATGGAAATTACAGATTCTTTACTTACAAACAAGATTAACATAATATTTGAAGTCGTGGAAACTAACTGCTCAAACAGTTGCATAAGTAAAGAAATCAAGTCACAAATTAAAAATTACGTAGTTGATGTACTGTACTTTCTGTTGCTTGAATACAATGTAAGTAGTTGTATGAAAAATAACCCACATATTACATCATACAAGTGTATATGATACATCGATTTGCTGAAAATTTCAGCCTGTTGTAGTCGACTGCCTTGTACGAAAAATCACGCCCCGAGATGATTCAAAACACAATACCAGCTCAAAAAGTTTGACCGTCTCCACTTGTTACAATAGTTTTGTCGAGGCGATTAAGGTTCCAATTTTTCAATTCTTTCTGATACAACCTGCTGACACTTTACAACAGATGGAAGGACTTTTAACAGATGGAATCTCATTGAATGGCTTTTTTCGGATGATTGAGGATCTTTTAAGCTTTGCACAACAAAATCCAAGCGCTATGTCGAAAAGGTTGGTCGACGAATTGATCAGAAATTGTAACAAGTACAGGGAATTGATCGGTAATGACGAGCAACTCAAAGATCGATTATTAGACGTTTACAGCATTGCTGTTTTGCTAAAGAGCAGCGAAGATATATCAACGCCCGATGACGAAGTAACAAGCGACTTGTACCTCTTTATCATGGATGAACTAAAGAACAGTCAGGATCTCCAGAAAAAAATAAGTATTCTGAACAGGTTTTTTGTATACATGGTGGAACATTCGAGCCGTATCGACACTGATTTAAAAACTCCGCTATTCGAGCTTTGCGACAAAGACTCTGTCAGTTGGATTCAAAAACTTGAAGACGATGAGGTCGAAAGATCTCGGGCTACGCAATGCTTGAGGTGCTTGATGGACTTGCTCTCGATAACTGGAGCTTCAGTTGTACTAGAGATCATTATCATATACATCGCGGGTGCCGGCAAATTTTTCAAGCAAGAAAAACTTGACCAAGCATTACAAGCGTACTTCGCGTCCCTATCCAGCGAGAGCGCTTTGGTAGCGCTTGAATCGATTTTCGAGGTATTCATCATAAAGTCTCTGAGTTGGGATGAGAGACTGGACGTGCTTCAATACATACTACTGCCATCGCTCGAGTTCGCTGCTATTCCCATGATCAGTAATTTCTACAATCGCAACATATACAAGATCAGCAGTAGTCTATTTGATACAATCGAAGAGACAGATCCACACGAGCGTAAACAGATTATTGTTACCAAGATCGGATACTTCAAGCTTACGGAGCTGGCCCTCTCGAGATTCCATTTTGACAGTCTGACTGTCGATTTCAATGGTACAGATAACATGACGAAAATTTTCTTCCTTCCCTCAAACTCTCAAGATGAAGAACTCGTGAGACATCTCAATTGCTGTATACTCAATTCGCTAATCTCAGCGATTGATCTTCAAATCGACTGCAAGCCACTTTTCTTGATACAAACGATATTTCAAAGATTGGATGTTAATTCGTGGGAGCAGATTGTCGACTGCAAGCGGCATTACGACATGAGCATTCCACCTGAAACTTTTAGTAAACGTGCCATTAGCATACGACCCAAAATCGCAGACGAAAATGATATCAACAAAGAAATACTTGATTCATTGTTGGATCAATATTTCAGTCCAATTCCAGTTGACCCAGATTATTTGAGATATGCACGAAACGGCAGACAAAGTCTCACTCTCGAAAATGACGAACTTAACGATCACGAGTGCATGCCGATGCTGACAGGCCTGTGGATGTATCTGTTCAACAAGAAAGCACTGAGAAAACCGCCTGAAGAAGCCACTGAAAAAAAATTCGAAGTTTGGATGAATTGTTTGAGTATGGGACTGACTCCTAAAAAGGACAATCTTACATTGTTCATCTTGAGACTATTCAGCAATGCAAAAAAAATCTTCCTGCCATTTTTAAGTTCGCTCTTTTCGGATATAGCGAAAGCCTTGAGCTCTTACCTTACCAATAACCCGATTAATTATCTGGTCAGAGACATGCTGATCATGTTTATCGAGTCAGAGTTCATTCCTGGTGAAGACAACGAAAATGAAGAAGAGGATGCACAGACACTTGTAGAAAAATTGATAGACGAAGCGCTCGATGAAAATCCAAAGATTTATATTTACAACATTAGTTTGATCGAAGCTTTGGTTAAAGCCTGGAACAGTAAGCTTAAAATATTTAGAAATTTAGAGAAAATAATCAACATTAACAAAGACTTGTCCATGTGCGTCATTCTTATGATGTTCAGACACAACGTGAGGTGCGAGGAATTGATTAAATTAAATTTTATGCACAAGTTTGTGCGTGAACAATTTTTTCGGTGGCGTGTCCCGATGATTGAAAAAACGTATGAAACTATTGGGTTCATATTGAAATTTGTTTCTAATGAAGATCGGTACAATTTTGTAAAGAATGATTTAGTGGAAATCTTGGTCGATATGGCGAAGTAAGTGTTTTAATATTTTCATAAAAATATGCATTATTAATTATTACTATGTACATCAACGTTATTAATCGAATCATTATTTATTTATTTTTAGTACTTTACCTCATCATACATACGAAACAGGTAGAGACTGCTGCATACGACAGCTCTACTTAATTTTCAAAAACTGTCCTTGCATAGTTGATTACCCGATGCTACGGCAGTTTATGATTCCAAAAACTGTGTACAATGATCAGCGCAAAGTTGAATGTATAGAAATGCTCTTGGGAGTGTTGAGGAGCTGTGATGTGGAGTCTATTGACGATACTCTTAAGCTCTTGAACATCGTGTCAGTATTAAACGGACGATTTTTGCTGTGCCTTGACGTGGCCTTTGAAGTCGTTAAAACTGTGATAAACAAATTACCAGCAGAAGAGTCAAAGCCGTATCTTTTGGCTCTCGAGCAATATACCAATAACGATACGTTGTTGCGGCATAGAAAAGTCGTTTACCAAATTTTTATGGATGCGTATGATAAGTACGCAAATGAACAAGTATCAAGGTACAATTTCTCAACTAATACAGTTTATTGTCATAATGGCATTCGACACCAGCTTTTTCTATTGTTCACAGGTCCGAGGGAGTGGAAGAATCGTTAAATTTTAGTAGAAAAGTACTCATTAATGGTATTTCTGATCTCAGTGATGATATTCAAAACTTCATCCTCGACTTCTGGAAAAACCGCACCAACTTACCGAGTGATCTTATGGATCGTTTATTGCACTTACTGAAAATGTTCGATCTAGACGTAGCCCCTAGCTACGCACAATTTCTGAGTAGTCTGCTGCTCGAACTAGCTCGTGAATCTGACAAAGATTCCAAAGTCTTGTTTACCGGCTTATCTGAGCAAGATCATCCGATGTTGGATTACGAAATAGCAACGCCTTCATTGCGCTTATACTCGAGTAAAAATCGAATTCCGCTCTACGCACCGGCACTTGCGAGAACACTTGAACTTGCGATCGGTATACAAGATAACGATTTCGATAACATTAACGCTTCGATGCAGGAGTCGTGCGCGACAGGTAATCTTAGTCGCGCTCTAGTCGATAAATTAACTAGGTTTGCTGTTATTTATTTATTTATTTTTTTTTTTTTTTTTTTTTTTTTGAAACATTAACGTAATATATAAGAGAAGTTTTAATTGTACTTTTGATCCTTTTTTTTTCAGGTCTAATGATTTATGTCAAAAATCGGGAGAGGATTCGCCCAAAGAAAGTCTGTCAAAACGCTATTATTCGGAAGAAATAACTGAAAGTTCCATCTCCGTCGAATATTACTCAACGGTAAAAAAAGAAATATCAGAGCAGAATAAAAGCGTCAAAGTAAATCGTACCTACAAATTAAGTCGAGTTCCAAACGTCGAGATCACGCAAACGGATGTCATCGTTACTTTACAAGACTTAGTTCTTAGAGATCGGTATTTCGCTGGGAATCTGGTTGTACCATTGGTCTGTGCTATCGTACGTCACTTTACTAATACTGAGATGTACGATACTCTAACAGGCAGTGTTGCGGAAATCTGCAGTCGGGCTTTGCAGATTCGCAATGACTTTGCTCCTATGGCTATGGAAATTCTACATCGCATAGGTAGCCTCAATTTCAATGCTACCTGTGTAGCTGATACAGCCAAGTCGATGAATTTACAGTTATCTGGTAGGTTTATACGTCATTATATTTTAGACAATAAGTCAATTTATAAATCTCTGTATTTAATATAAATATCTCACGTAGGAATATTACTTCTGGAAAGAAACTCAATTACATGCGATCAGTCCGTTTATGACGTAAAAAAATTAATCAATCCAAAAATCCAGCATAACATGGAATTAGTCAGCATGTATCAGTCTATTGGTGAAAGAGATGTGGTACAAAGTATTTTTAAGAATTGGACCAATTCTTTGAATTCGAGTGATTTGTATCAAGGCTATTTGGCTGAAGGTACCAACAATTGGGTTAAAGTTAAAACAATTTATGAAGGGACTGCTGAAGATGATCCAGCCAAGGATTTCTGTGAGCAAAGCATGTACAGGGTAAGGACTTTTTATTTATGCATGTTCATGTAAATAGCATTAAGGGGATGAACAAATATTGAACGATGGAATGCACACTTTTTAAAGAATCAATCAAAAATATTTTTAACTTCAATAAATTATTATTTAACGTTAAATTATATTTTACATAATTACATTACATAATAAATTTACAATTTTAATGTCTTTTGAAAATGAAAAAACCGATCATTAGTTTGTCTAAGAAGTAGATCATTTAATTGACTCAATGGCTATATAACAAGTTATGTAACGCTACAACAGTTAAATTTTAGTTAATTTTGAAACATAAAACTTTTAGATGACACATTAGAATTTTTTATCTACTATATTTGCAATCTTATTTACAATACATAATTTCATTGTAATGAATTTCAAAAAATGGTACCAAAATTAGGTAATTAATCGGTAAAATTGCAACATCGTTCAAGGTTAGGCAAACCTTAGATTGCATTAAAGTTGAATTTTTTCATGGCCACTCGAGTATTTATGGAAACAAGAAGAAAAAAAACTGTAATCTGTGTGAACCTTACTGTCTATCTACAAAGTGCAATTTTTAACTTTTTAAATCCGTATTTTCCTTGCCCTCGTATCTCCATCGCCACCACGCGACCTTCATGCGATCCCACACGTTTTCCCAGGAATCCATGGCCGGTCTGACGTCCAACAGTGCAAATTTATACTTATCATCGAGCTCTCCACCATCGTAATAATCAATCACGTACTTGACATTTCTACCACATCTATCAACGATCCAGTCGTGCCTATCAAATGGCAAATTGTATCCTAGCCAATAGCGAATCCTAGCACGTGGCGAATAGTCCTTAGCCTTGCCACCAAAGCTACGCAACTTGGGAGTGGTACATTCAAACGCGTGCAAAGCTTCCCATTTGAGTACCTCTTGCCAAGCCTGTTCATTGTTGGCATTGTGAATTTTAATGATGTCATCCATATCTTTTGGCGAGACTTCCTCATCTCTCCAGCGCCAGCCCTTGCGAAGCATAGCATTCCAGAACATCTGTGGTGATGGGTACACCCAGAAGGCACCTTCTTCAGTGGCTTTTGGGATTGAAGACATTTGTCTCTCCTTTGATAGGGGGAAGGGCTGATCCGGTGCTGGATTTTGATTCTCGGGTGGCATCATATTCAAAGGATTTATGGGAGCACCATGATTAACTGGACACTCGCCTTGTTGAGGGGCCTGGGGTACGGGTGCGCTTTTGTTATGAACAGGACACTCTGATATTGACGGTGATGTTTTAGCCTCGGTTTTTGCTACATCCGCGGCTGATGCAACTGTGTTGCCCATTTTGATGACTGCTCTACATAAAGAAAATCATGTCAGTTTATTAAAATTTACTTGTTTTATAACAAAAATGCAAGGGTTACCTTTTTTTTTTTTTAAACTTTTTCTACAGTTGCGTTACCCCTCTCTTCCTGTGTGTTGGTTACGACACACGCGAAACATCAATGTGAATGAAACTTGATTTGAAAAATTACTCGATGATGGTCAATCTATCAATTCAAACTCACTGGAACAGCAGCATCGCTGTGTTTCACGAGACATAATTATATATCAACGCGCGTAACTAATATTTAATTGCATTAACAAAACGTCTTATATGTCCTGATGACAAAATAGAACTAGGTTAGTCCCAATAACACAGCTCCCAACAAGCAGCAGAAGCATCTCGAAAAAGACTATAAAATAATCGATCTCTCGAAACTGTTGAAGCTTGCGCACACGCCCAAGTGGGCATTTTTCCTTTCCGCGGGAAATGTAACAAAAAAAAAAAAAAAAATCAGAAATATATTGCATTAACTTGAAAATTATTATCTATATACACCTAGATATTATGTGATAAAATCGATTGTGAATATCTTCTAAAATATAATAAAAATTCATTCACTTGAATATGTAATTTTTCTGTAATCGTTCCGTCTCATAATTCATGAAAAATTGCTATTTTTCCAGAGTTTAAGTGAACTTTCCAACTGGGACAATCTTAACAGCAAAGTAAAGGCCTCGCTAGATGTTTACGACATTTGGAATCATCCGAAAAAAGAAGAACTGCTGCCGTGGATGTTTATGGTACGAATTAATTGTCCTTACGAGACAAAAACAAAATGTAAACGTTTGGTGTGTCAACTTGCGCGAATTCTCATTTTTTCAGTCCGAGCTGCAAATGATGCTAGAGGACTTGCAGAAAAACATCGAACCGGAGACTCAATTCTTCCAAGACGCGCTCGCCCAAGTCGCGAGTGGAAACACCGAGCTCCGAAGAGTGTTTGGTGAGGAGCTGTCCGTCTATCACTTGTGCAATGACAGGCAATCTATACCTGCATCGCTGCAATGTCTCAACAACTGTATGGATTACGTTAAGGAGCAATGGATCGACTCGGATCCGCTCGTCGAGTATTCAAAACTGCAGCTGTTCGCGAAACTCGGCAGACTGTCTGATACAGATTCGCACATCATTACCATGAGTATGTCCGATCTGGCCTCATCGGTGGACAATCTCATTGAGTATTGGAACAACAAATTCCCCGAGTCTAGAGTCGGTCTGCTTTCCTGGAATGTGCGAGTTGCTGCTAGATTGGGCATAGCGCGTGTTGCAATTAACAAACTATCCAATGTTTCTATGAATTCTGGGTAGGTGCATACAAACATACGTTTGATCACACTATTACAAATTTTTTTTTTTATTTTCTTTCTTTTACGTTGAAATTGTTTTCAGCGTCGAGGCAACGCTGCTAGCTGCGAGTGTCCAGGAGCGATTGAAAATCAGCGAACTCGCCCTAGAGTACGGCAACAAAAAATTGTTGCAAAAGCACACCAAAGAAATTGAAAATACGCTGAACTACCTCAACGCCGATGAGGGTCGTTATCTGGAGTTGCGTCAGAAATTCGAGTACACCGCCGCAAGATACAAATTCTTGTGCGCCAAGGACGAGAATTGTGCCAAACGTAAATTCTACTACTACGTTGACTCGTGGGCTCTGGCTAATGGTGTGGCCAATGAAGAAATGGTTGATTTGTCGTTGAGAATTAAAGCAAAAGTACAAGTGGCCCAAGTCGTACGCGCTCTCAGTGTCACAATGCAACAGGATCCGAGATATTTGCAGCTCGCTCTGGCAGAGGACTTTGTTATGAGTAGTTTGAATGTGCAAGATCCAAATGAAATTGAAAGCAAGCTTAAGGCTCATTATTTCGAGTTGTTGAAAGGTACGTGTAACGAGGGAAGCGATAAAGAGAGGGGTGATAATTTGGTTGTCCTAGCTGATTATTGCCATCAACTTTTGATGGGAACCTATCACAGGACGTCGGAAGTACAGCTTGAGTATACAAATGCTGTTTTGACGGCAATGTCGTATGGCTCCATTAAAGCGACTCGTTTTTTCCCTGATCTTCTTAAATACGAAAATTATTCAGAAGACAGTAATCTCGTTGAATTTTTCGCTGAAAAATGCCGTAGTGTACCAACTAGTATGTTTTTACATCTTTACAAAGAAATTTTATCTCACCTGGGTACGAAGTTTCATGATATACGGGATAAATTAATCCTACCGATAGTCGAAAGGCTAGTCAATGATTTTCCAAGCACCATAATGTACAAGTTCAAAGAGATGTGGTCCACTAACGCTGTATTAAGAAATCCGGAACTTAGAAATTTAGAACTTCAAAAACCAGACACGAAAAAGAAATCAGAATTGCGAAAAAATCTGCGAGAAGAGCAATTAAGAACGGACAAGATTATAAATATGTACAAAACAGTTTGCAGTGAGCAAATGGACAAGTTTTTTAGTGCCGTTGAGTATTTGTGTCAGCCTGAAGAATATATGAAATTTTATTTATCAGAGATCATTCGCAATGGACGGTCTACAGCGAGTTTTATCAAGTTATTGAAAACTTTGATCGGAAAGGTACATTTATCGCTTTAAATTTTATCCGTTATTCATTTTCTACAACACTATTCTATTTGGGACTTGAATTTAAATATTTATTAAATTTTTTTTCAGATCCAGATGAATAATGATTTAAACTTAAGAGGTTCAATGTTCCAACAATTATTAAGCAACTATTCTGAACAGTTACAAGAATGGGTAACTATAACAGATTTAAAAACCCTGCAGACGATAGCCAAGAACCTATGTGTCGATCTTCGTATCAACATGCAAGCAAGACTGAAAAACGATAAATCGTTTAATCCTATACTACTTCAATCTTACAGTTCATTCTTGGCTGAATTTCAATTTGACAAACATAAAATTGAAGTGCCAGGTCTACAAAACCAATCGGTTCCGTCACATAGGGTGTTCATTGCAAAAATAGACTTAAATGTAGAAATTGTTTTAGTATCCAAGCGTTACTGTTTAAAAGTAAACATCATCGGGACTGATGGTAAAACGTATGAGTACTTGATTAAATTTGGAACGGACATGCGCCAAGACGAGCGTATGCAGCAGTTGTTTGAATCCATAAATCAAAGTTTAAGTAATGATTCAAGGTGCATTGAAAGACATTTGTTTGCCTTTACATACAACATCATTCCAATAAACACATATTTAGGCTTGGTGCAATGGGTAAAAGAAGCAAAATCGCTCCGAGATTTCGTTGAGTTTACCATGACCGATAAAACGATTCTGAATGAAATTTCTATAAAATATCAAGAATGGATAATGCAAGCTAACGACGAGAATTCAAATGTTAAAAGTAAATGCTACAAGCAAGCTTTGCTCAAGTATTCCCCGGATGAAGTTGAAGCTAAAATAAAAGAATTAACTGGGCTTCTTGACTGGGATCTTTTACGCAAAACGTTTGTAAAAATTACGTCTTCCATTGAGTCTTTCTTCAAGGTATGAGCAAAAATATATTAATTGTATAACACAACGTATGCTCCAGTGCAATAATTTTTTTTATCAATTGTAGTTACGCCAAAATTTTATATTATCTTATGCTGTGATGTGTACAGTCGATTGGATTGCTGGTATCGGCGATCGTCGGCTAGACAATATCCTTATAGAAGTATCAACAGGAAAATGTTTTGGTATCGACCACAAAATGGTTTTTGGTACTGGTATAGATCAGCCCGTTCCTGAGTTGGTTCCGTTTAGACTTACCTCGCAGATAATGGGTCTGCTCAGACCCTTCACACCAAAAGACTTATTTGGAGCCAGTATGAGTCATGTGCTTGCGGCTTTGAGAAACGAAAAAAATCTGATTCTCATTTACTTAAATATGCTCTTACTTGAAGATTTAAAGTGGGATCATTTGGTAGAAGAGCGTTGGTTACAAGATTGTAACCATTATGATGGTATTATTTAATCAACGTATTCATGTTTGAGTGAAAAAGAGTTTTCAAAAAATTATATCAAATAATTTATTTCAGGCGAATGGTTACCAAAATTCAAACTTGAAATAGCACAAAAAAAATTAAACGGAGAAAAGCCTTCTCTCATTATGATCAATGAACTGTCGAGCAATCATAATAACCATGAAAATCAGTACTTTTCGATAAATAAGTGTATTTTGAGAGGAAATGAATTCAAACACGACAATATAAGAGCACACATAAAAGACTGTAATCTCACGCCGGAAGAACAGGTTAGTATTTTATATTTTATCATACTATTATTTATTAGATAAAATATAAGATAAGATTTAACTTAAATTCTAATAATTGTTACAGATGCTGTGTTTGGTCGACCAAGCAACGGATGTTAATATTTTAGGTCGCATTTGTGTTGAATGGTACCCATTTGTATAGATTACCCAAGATTTGAATGATACCATCTAATTATTTAGAAGATTTTTTCTACTCAAAAGAGCTTTAAAAATCTATTTAACGACGGAAATGTACATAATGTATTTAAAGAAAAAATAAAAAAACTGTTTATATTTTTTTACAAAAATATACGTGTATTTTATTTTAAATTTATCATCATAAGGTACTAACATCGTNGAGCAAACAGGCAAAGTAGGCCGAAAAAAGGTAGGACATATAATAATAATAATAATAATGGAAAAGAAAAATAAAACAAAGAAAAGATAGAAGGTGGAATGGAGGAGAAGAAGATGGAAAAAAGGGGGCAGACGACACACTCTTTTACAAAAATATACGTGTATTTTATTTTAAATTTATCATCATAAGGTACTAACATCGTTATTCGTGGCATGACTATATTAATAAACTATGTATATATAATTGCATGATTATAATGATATAGCATCATTACATTCATCCAATGATATATAGCTGTAAAAGGTTATTTTAAAAAAGAAACTGCCGAAGACAAGCAGTAGCATACTATTGGTAAGGCAGGATACCGAACTGATCAACCATGGGTATGTTCCAGTAACACACGTTCTCTTGAGTTCTCTCCAACAATTAATTTTATAGGCCGCGGCGCGGTCACATAGACGCATAGTGTATGCTCTAAGGTGTACTTGAGATATACGTGAAGTTATGTGTAGTAATTATTAGTAAACCTATAAGTAGAATGTCTATACTTTTGGAGGTCGATTTTCAAGTAAAAGACAAATTGCACACTTGCCGCAAATAGCACAAACGATGTTAACTTTTCATTTTCTATTTATATTATTAGTTGCGGCTGGTTTATAATTAATTAAATGGCTCTACTGTAAGATAGTAATAATATTTTGGATCAGCGCCATCTAGCGTTTCGGATTTCTGAACTAAAAAGTGGCCCTAAACTTTTCAGCCAGAGCTTTATCGCGTAGAGCCATTTAGTCACTTATAAACCAGCCGCAACTCATTTTGTAGCTTTAAAATAGAAAAATAACTATACATGTGTTTTTGGCGGCAAGTAAACAATCTATCTTTTACTCGAAAATTCATCATCAAAAGTATAAATACATATGAGGTCAATTTTTTGGTAGAAAATAGATTGTTAACTTGCCGCCAAAAACACACGTATTATTATTTTTTGATTTTATAGCTTCACCATAAGTTGCGGCTGGTTTATAATTGGCTAAATGGCTCTAATCCTGATTGCTCAGATTCAGAATTTTAGGAGCCACTTTTGGCCAAAAAATAAAGACCGCTAGATGGCGCTGATCCAATATAATTATTGCTGTTGCTACTTACAGTAAAGTCACTTTATTAGTTATAAACCAGCCGCAACAAATCTTATAGATAGATAGTAAAAAGTTAACATTTTTTGTGCTACTTGCGGCAAGTTTACAATTTATCTTTTACCTTTAAATCGATCTCCAAAACCATCAATATTCTACTTCTTTTATATGGCTCATAAAATAGACAATATTTACAAAATTACAATACTCTAGACCTTTTACCATTAACTAATGAAAGAACAGCCCTTCAACTTTAGATTTTTAATAAACAGTTAACTTATATAATATGTACATAACAAAATTTGTGTTACAGAAATCGTATATCACGATCAAATATACACGTAAATTAATCAGTCGAAAAAAGACAACTGAAGAAAAAAGGTCTTAAAAAAGATTTCAGTAACACAGGAAGAGTCTCCTCAAAATGGAGCGTTGGATCTCACTTAATCAGAGAAGGTTGAGTTCTTTGTTTATTTATATTACTTAAAACTTACTTCTCTGTAATAAATGTATTTTTTATTTCGTGATATCCGATGCTCCATTCTTAGGAGACTCTTCCTGTGTCACTGAAATCTTTTTTAAGCCTTTTTTCTTCAGTTGTCTCTTTTCGACTGATTAATTTGTGCTTACATGAGTTAATGGTAAAAGGTCTAGAGTATTGTAATTTTGTAAATATTGTCTATTTTATGAGCCATATAAGATAAGTAGAATATTTATGGTTTTGGAGGTCGATTTTAAGGTAAAAGATAAATTGTAAACTTGCCGCAAGTAGCACAAAAAATGTTAACTTTTCACTATCTATCTATAAGATTTGTTGCGGCTGGTTTATAACTAATAAAGTGACTTTACTGTAAGTAGCAACAGCAATAATTATATTGGATCAGCGCCATCTAGCGGTCTTTATTTTTTGGCCAAAAGTGGCTCCTAAAATTCTGAATCTGAGCAATCAGGATTAGAGCCATTTAGCCAATTATAAACCAGCCGCAACTTATGGTGAAGCTATAAAATCAAAAAATAATAATACGTGTGTTTTTGGCGGCAAGTTAACAATCTATTTTCTACCAAAAAATTGACCTCATATGTATTTATACTTTTGATGATGAATTTTCGAGTAAAAGATAGATTGTTTACTTGCCGCCAAAAACACATGTATAGTTATTTTTCTATTTTAAAGCTACAAAATGAGTTGCGGCTGGTTTATAAGTGACTAAATGGCTCTACGCGATAAAGCTCTGGCTGAAAAGTTTAGGGCCACTTTTTAGTTCAGAAATCCGAAACGCTAGATGGCGCTGATCCAAAATATTATTACTATCTTACAGTAGAGCCATTTAATTAATTATAAACCAGCCGCAACTAATAATATAAATAGAAAATGAAAAGTTAACATCGTTTGTGCTATTTGCGGCAAGTGTGCAATTTGTCTTTTACTTGAAAATCGACCTCCAAAAGTATAGACATTCTACTTATAGGTTTACTAATAATTACTACACATAACTTCACGTATATCTTAAGTTTTTTTTACTTAGACCTACCGTAGCCCTAACAATTAGGCGCTTCGCTGATTGGCGATTGGGGAATACATTGCACCCGTACTAATCTGTCTTCACCAGGGCTCTGTTACGGCGTTGCAGATATTTTCTACGGGCATAGGGGGTCAGCCTTACTCTATAGAGGTCAAGAACAGAAGAAGATGGAAAAAAGGGGGCAGACGACACACACGCTCTTCTATCTTTGTCTTTCTTGACTCAAAAATACACGCACATATCGTTCACTCACCTTGTCATAATTTAACAACCAAATTGTTTTTTCCTTTCCAAGTGACTTACGCTATTTCCTTAATTGACAACCGATCGAAAATCATTGAAGTTTTCTTAATCGAACGAAAATGAATCGAATAAAGCAGCTGCTGAGCAAAAAAGAGACCCGTGATTATTTTATGAGGTAAGTATTACTTATATTTTTCAGTTTGTCAATGTAAAAAGAGCGTGATAAATGATTAGATGAATATATAAGTACTAATTTATCGTGACTCTTCTTTTTACTTTTTTTTTTTTTCTGCCGAAGACAAGCAGTAGCATACTATTGGTAAGGCAGGATACCGAACTGATCAACCATGGGTATGTTCCAGTAACACACGTTCTCTTGAGTTCTCTCCAACAATTAATTTTATAGGCCGCGGCGCGGTCACATAGACGCATAGTGTATGCTCTAAGGTGTACTTGAGATATACGTGAAGTTATGTGTAGTAATTATTAGTAAACCTATAAGTAGAATGTCTATACTTTTGGAGGTCGATTTTCAAGTAAAAGACAAATTGCACACTTGCCGCAAATAGCACAAACGATGTTAACTTTTCATTTTCTATTTATATTATTAGTTGCGGCTGGTTTATAATTAATTAAATGGCTCTACTGTAAGATAGTAATAATATTTTGGATCAGCGCCATCTAGCGTTTCGGATTTCTGAACTAAAAAGTGGCCCTAAACTTTTCAGCCAGAGCTTTATCGCGTAGAGCCATTTAGTCACTTATAAACCAGCCGCAACTCATTTTGTAGCTTTAAAATAGAAAAATAACTATACATGTGTTTTTGGCGGCAAGTAAACAATCTATCTTTTACTCGAAAATTCATCATCAAAAGTATAAATACATATGAGGTCAATTTTTTGGTAGAAAATAGATTGTTAACTTGCCGCCAAAAACACACGTATTATTATTTTTTGATTTTATAGCTTCACCATAAGTTGCGGCTGGTTTATAATTGGCTAAATGGCTCTAATCCTGATTGCTCAGATTCAGAATTTTAGGAGCCACTTTTGGCCAAAAAATAAAGACCGCTAGATGGCGCTGATCCAATATAATTATTGCTGTTGCTACTTACAGTAAAGTCACTTTATTAGTTATAAACCAGCCGCAACAAATCTTATAGATAGATAGTAAAAAGTTAACATTTTTTGTGCTACTTGCGGCAAGTTTACAATTTATCTTTTACCTTAAAATCGACCTCCAAAACCATAAATATTCTACTTATCTTATATGGCTCATAAAATCGACAATATTTACAAAATTACAATACTCTTGACCTTTTACCATTAACTAATGAAAGAACAGCCCTTCAACTTTAGATTTCCAATAAACAGTTAACTTATATAATATGTACAT